TCTTAACCAGACCTTTGTGGTTAAATACAACTCAGTTACAAGGACTTCTGAAAAAACAGTGGCTTGTAAGGTAATGATTTGCAATTTTAGCAACATTAAATCTTTGCCACGTTACCAAAGAATCAATTTTCAAAATAAATTACTTCAAGAGAGGGGTATTAGGTATTTGAGACTGTTTTTGCATTAAGATTCTGAGTATCTCATGTGCATTGAACAAATTGAAAAACTAGTCTAATTTATTACTCCTTCAAATATTGCCTCCTAGGAGCCCCATCCACAAAGGCTGTCAGCAGAAGAGGTGGTGCAAAGACTAACTAAAAGTGATACCTCTACTCTGAATATCTTCCAACACCTCACTGAGCTGAAGTCATTCTTCATAGAGGTAGATATGTTACTTGAAATTGTTTAAAGTCTAATCTGAAACTTCTGATGTACTTGAAGCAAAAGGTACCAACCTAGATGAAAATAGACTTGCTTTCTATTTGGAGAAAATATTTTAAAATGCAGTATGTATTAAATTAACTCTGTCTTTTTAGTTGGCTTCATAGAGGGTAAATCCCATAATCTGCTGGCTGCTTGTGTGGGTGCTGTTTGAGTATTAAATTAGTCACCGTACCAACAAAGCTGCAAACCTCACTGGTGGTGTGTGAGGACTCACTGAACTTGGTGGTTCAACTCCCTGACTGGGGTCAGGGTTTCATTTGCAATGTTTGTGATGAAGCTTACCTGCATGAACTGAATGGATGTGTACCAATGCCTTAGGGTGCTCTGCACGTCTGACACTGATTCCAGAACCTTTGGATCTTATTCTTTACAGGTTCTAGATTTAGCCCTTAGCTTTTGTATGTAATCAAATCAAACCCATGTCCTTTCTCTTAGGGAATTAGTGATGGTGTGCCCATTGTCAAAGCTGTTGTCCCCAGGAATCAGTCACGTTCCTTTATTTCTCAGGGAAGCCCAGAGATCTTGGTGAGTTGCATGTGTCAATACTGTTCTTAAACTGAAGATAGTCAAATGGGTGTGTTTTTTTCATGCACCTTGTAGAGTAACGTTTCTTAACTATTCCTCTTCAAATGTGTTCCTTTAACCTATAATGAATGTCAATTATAAGTTAAATATTTATCTTCCAAGGAAAAGCCAGGCTGATTTGTTGACTGGCATTTAAGAGCTGATGAGACATGACAGTAAATTACAGTGAGGTGTGTTGAAAGTTGCCACTTGATCAACTTCGCTACAGCAACCAATTTGCTAATGCAATGCAGCCCAGATTCAAAATTACAGCACTGAGTTATTAATGGTGTCATTGTTTGTCATTGCTTTCCAACCAATATATTAAACTATACCACATCTGGTGCATGCACACTCCAAAGGCCTGTGCTATTTCTAAAACTAACTCTTGCACTAACACATATTCTTGTACTGTGGCAGATACCAAATAATAAAAGGAGAACAGTGATTTTGTATTTACATCTGTATATATGGCTAGACACTGGCCCCAGTACAATAATACCTCTGTTTTGCAGGAAAGAATATTCCAATATTCCTATTTTGTATGTCAAAATTATTGTCTTGGCTTAATGTGGTACATTCATAGGTTATTTGGACACATCTAAAATTCTCCTTGTGTTTTTTATAAGTATCAAATAAAATAACCTTGAGTGTTTAGATTCCTTTGTTACTTTGTCAGAAATGAAATTGGTACAATGCTTGTTAAACTTCATCTGTTAATTTGTTTGCTATTAACAATTAGTATTCAGAGAATAGAAAAAGCAGCAGCTTAAACTAAATGCCTGACTTGTAATTGCGTATTTGAGAGGGGTTGGTTGCTGGATTTTTAGTTCTCCTCCCCTCCTTCCTACCCCAACTTCTCTGACCTATGTAGAGCATAGACTATTCTAATATGTCTCTATGTACCACATGTGAATTAACTCATCTGAGTGGGATTTTTTATTGATTTGTTTGTTTGGGGAGAGGAGAGAGTTTTCCTTTGTGGTAGGTTTTCAAGAAGCCTCTGCTGGACTTTAGGCAAGCTCCATTAGCATCAAGGCAAGCAGAAAATAAACCTCTGGGTTTCATTAACTTTTTCATCAAACTTTTCTAGGTAACAACAAGTCTGAACTGTGTTATTGGAACTCATGGTTGGCTGCCTTATGACAAGAATATTTCCAACTATTTTACATTCATCAAAGATACAACAGTGACCAATCCCAAGTAAGCAGATTTTGAGGAGGGGTACAGATGAATGCATTAAAATAATGAAATACAGTAATTGTTCAAAAATCAGTGGGTTATACTGTATTCACTGCCTGAGTTTTCACCTACAAATGCATCTTCTGATGTTCAGTAATATTACGTCTAATTTGTAATAGCATTCTCGTAGAGTTATGTAAGTGGCATTTCAGGCTTCATTCTTAGAGCTACTTCTAATTTTTTTCTAATTATCAATCATAAAAACTCATCTTGTAGTCTGCGTCTTCATACATTCTTATGCTATAGTAATACAGAGGTATATGTGGTGAGTTTGGCTTTTTTGTTCTTAGAATATTCCCTTTTTGTCTTTAATGTTGCAATGCTTAGTAGGGACATGAGTTATCTAATTGTGTAAAAGGCTGAAAAAATCTCAGATGAAATCTTGCTTCCAGTCACTGGTGGCAGTAAGATTTTTGCCATGGATGTAGCCTCTTCTGTAGATGGAATTCGTTACTGATTTTTGAAGACACAGGAAGTGCAAAATCCCTGGATTTGAGCCAAGGTTGCTGTTAACTGCTCATCGTTTGCCTACAGAACACAGCGCAACATGAGTGGTCCTTTTGCCCCAGGGCTGGAGATCACCTCCAAGCTGTTTGCAGTGTCCCATGACGCAAAGCTGCTCTTCAGTGGCGGACACTGGGACAACAGCATCCGAGTGACATCCCTTACGAAAGGCAAACTGATGGGACAGCACATCAGGCACATGGGTCAGTCACTCTGTTGGGAAATGGAAAGGGTTGGTGTATGTT